CCAATTTTAGAGTCAGTGGCTTTGAACTTGCAGCTTTGTTTACCTGGTCACGTCAGATGGAACCAGTTGAAGCCGGCCTCATCCCGATTGCCGAACTCCGCTTTTGTATCTCCAAAAGATTGAGGTCCCAATGGGACATCCAAATTGATCCCTCGAACCAGGAGTTTCGCTTTTGCGACTTGGACGGTGATACATTCCAAGTTTCCAATGATATGACGGTCTTGCAGCTTTTGGAGGCATACCGACCTGAGTGGCGACTTCGGCAGTACAATTCCCGCGAATCCTCTTTCCTCATCCCGGGTACCAGACAGCCTTTCGTACTACGCTTGCAATGCTACAAAATTAGCTCCGGTGTGATCCTGCCCTGATGCGCTAGCCGGCCAAAAAAGACCATGCTACAGGGTTTTCAATTCCTCCTTGACACCCCACTAACACAAAGGATTTTTCGATTTCTATTTTATTTGACTTGGAGCTGTGGCTTCTCCGTCGCAATTGACCCACTTGATTGAGGACTGGATTTCACTTTTATCATTTTTGTGAATATTATCAATTTCGTGATTGGCTTTCTTCTGCAATTTTTGATGCTTCAGCCGTTGTTGCACTATTTCTCGTATTTGTGACAGTTTCACCCATGGAACACAAACGAGACGCGACCGTGGCGGGCTTGTCTTAGCCTTCGAACCCTACTCGTGGACTCGCTCCTACCGACCCAGTTCAAGTACCAGACGCCTCGACTTCTGCACTATGTCACTCAGGAGCTCCCGACACTACGACCAACCCTACTCCGGCACCGCCTCGACTTCTGCACTATGTCACTCAGGAGCTCCCGACACTACGACCAACCCTACTCCGGCACCTTTGGTAACTGACAGTACGGCACCTGCTACGGGTACACTGGCCCATTCTGATACATATTCAGGACCAGCACCTCCTGGCGTTCCATTCCCGACAGACTCAAGTTCTACACACAACTACTTCCATCGTGTTCAGTTCTCTTCTCGCGTGGTTCACCAGATCCAATTCAAGGTCTTTACCCACTCCAACAACACCAGGGAGCTATTCATTGAAGAAATTCCTTTGTTAGGGCATTCCCGATGTCGTGACCCTGAACACTATTTCTATGGTCTCTCCGGCAACTGGGAGTGGTCCCTGCGCACAGCGGACTATTGGCGACATCATTTTGAGATTCCCCTTGTACATGGACACCATCCTTTTCACAATGTGCCCATTGAGACGACATCTCCTGGAGATGAACCAAGGCTGACCACCCGGATCCATGAATTAGCCAAAGATCTATCTGACACCTTGAAGGCTGCTACGGCATCGGGGGAATTTGATCAGACTTGGGCGATGGTTGAACGCATGAGCTTCCACGATGCTATGGAAGTCCTTCTACAAGCTCCGAATTCCTCTTCTGACTGAAGTGACCGCCCTTTTGTACATTAGGTTATTACAGGTTCACTTTCACTGGTGTCTTGCCGATTCCGCCAGTGTGTGTACCATCTGAACAGATGTAAAACTTCTGATTGGTTTTCACTAATTTGCAGGGGGCACCTGGAGCATGGATAGGTCAGGTGCCAACGAAGACACCTATCCAATGCTTGTGATATCACGGCTGATCACCGTGACGTACCTGCCAATTTACTGAAATGGGAAGAGGCTCAACCCAAGAACCTCCACGTCGTCCATTTGCAATTTCAATTTACTGCGCTGTTGACGCAATCTGGAATCAATTTTGACATTTACATGCATCAGAACCTTCCTCAGATTTTCGCCGAAACCATATCGCCGACAGTATTATGTTTTTTGACTTATTTTCGCCGAGATCCTGTCGCCGACGAACTATGGGTTATTTTGGGAAACAATCGCCGAAACATTATTTTGGATTTCAACATGCTGGTCAAAACTCTATGGAATCTGGTTATGACTACGTTTGACAATTTCGGATGCCCTACATCGTTTGCGAGAAGTACCTCATGTGGCTCTTTTATTCATCTAATAATCTAGGCTGGTTTGCATGTTTCAGGATTCAGTTCCTGCCGGATCATATAATGATCCATTCTTGTCTAGTGTGTGTGTGTGCACCATCTGAATAGATGTAAAACTTCTGATTATTGCAAGGGCGTGTGGCACTCATGTCCTACCACACGCAATGAAGCTGTGGGCATGAGTGGGAAGGGAAACGTGGCCGGTTTCCTGTACCTGCAACTATATTTACAGTATATGTAGAGTACCGCCCCTGGGCGCATTTAAGTCGCAGCTGGGGGGGGCCTATATTTTATCGCTGTTGGTTTATACTATCATTGTCTCCTGTGATTATAGTTCTATGTGTGTATATCAATCCTGTCATTTAATAGTTGGTGTTTTTGCACATTTGATGCATTCCACAGCAAAATTTGCAACGACAGTTCTGATCAAGTCTGTGTGTGTGTGTCACTCCTTTCACACGGATAGCATCATAATTGCATCATATGAATCATGTTATCGCTGATGGCCCCATGTCAGCAGCAAGACCGGACTCTGGGACAGCGCAAAAAAGATGAAATGCATTTTTGGATCATTTTGGTGTAATGCATGCACTCAACCTGAGCAGCGGACCTCTTCACTCGCCTGCTGTGCTTTCCTTGCCGTTTGGACCTTCCAACCAAACATGCTTGGCAGATCTGGCAGCGGTGACGTTGAAGTGTCTATGGGAAACATTCGATGCATATAGATTATACATTTCAATCTTCATGACATCCAAGTTCCCCATTGTCCAAAAAGTGCATGGTATTTCGTCACATCACAGGGACCAAGGTCAAAAATCTACAGCAATGCAAAACTTGCTACAGCACCTCCTCCTGTGCATTTGCCAGCTTTGATTGAAGATCAGTCCGAATGGCCTGCACATGGCCAGAGGCATTGTAGCAGCGTAGCAATTCACTATTTACTTTGCAGATTTGGGAGTTTTGCTTCATTCGATGAACAAGTGGACCTCCGCAAAGGTCCTAACACACCCAACTACAATTCATTAAACAGAAACTTGCCTCAAGGTCTGCCAAAGCAGTTGCTTTCTCTGAAGCGCTTGCCTCCATCTTCCGGCAAGCCTCCCAAAGGATCCCAAACGTTCTCCATTCAAGTTGCTTCAAAATCATGAAAAAAACACAAAATATTACAACATATGACAAGATATTACAAGATTGCCTTGTCACAATTGTCAAACCCAAGCACAAAAGATCAGATTCATCTTCCTGTACTGTGTGTATCCAGTGCGAAATCCAGTGCGAAATGCAAAAATAGCAACGCCTTTGAACAGGTGAATGTGTGTGTGTCACTTCTTTCACACGCATAGCATCTTAATTGCATCATATGAATCATGTTATCGTTGATGGCCCCATGTCAGCAGCAAGACCGGGCTCTGGGACAGTGCAAAAAAGATGAAATGCATTTTGGATCATTTTGGTGTAATGTATGCACTCAACCTCAGCAGCGGACCTCTTCACTCGCCTGCTGTGCTTTTCTTGCCGTTTGGACCTTCCAACCAAACATGCTTGGCAGATCTGGTAGCGGTGACGTTGAAGTGTCTTTGGGAAACATTCGATGCATATAGATTATACAATTCAATCTTCATGACATCCAAGTTCCCCATTGTCCAGAAAGTGCATGGTATTTCGTCACATCACAGGGACCAAGGTCAAAAATCTACAGCAATGCAAAACTTGCTACAGCACCTCCTCCTGTGCATTTGCCAGCTTTGATTGAAGATCAGTCCGAATGGCCTGCACATGGCCAGAGGCATTGTAGCAGCGTAGCAATTCACTATTTACTTTGCAGATTTGGGAGTTTTGCTTCATTCGATGAACAAGTGGACCTCCGCAAAGGTCCTAACACACCCAACTACAATTCATTAAACAGAAACTTGCCTCAAGGTCTGCCAAAGCAGTTGCTTTCTCTGAAGCGCTTGCCTCCATCTTCCGGCAAGCCTCCCAAAGGATCCCAAACGTTCTCCATTCCAGTTGCTTCAAAATCATGAAAAAAACACAAAATATTACAAGATATTACAAAATTGCATTGTCAAACCCAAGCAGGCACAAAAGATCAGGTGCATCTTCCTGTACTGTGTGTATCCACTGCGAAATGCAAAAATAGCATTTACTTTGAACAGTGTGAATGTGTGTGTGTGTCACTTCTTTCACACGGATAGCATCATAATTGCATCATATGAATCATGTTATCGCTGATGGCCCCATGTCAGCAGCAAGACTGGACTCTGGGACAGTGCAAAAAAGATCGGATGCATTTTCGCCTAAGAGTCTAATGTATGCACTCAATCTGAGCAGCGGACCTCTTCACTCGCATGCTGTGCTTCCCTTGCCGTTCGGACCTTCCAACCAAACATGCAGTATACGGTCTGGGGATGTCTGGGGATGTTCACGGACATATTATGAACGACAGTGGCACAAACAATCAAGGTTGTATTTAGCCCATAGCGAGACAGAAAGAAATTGCTGCCTACGTTTACTTTCTATGCATCCGCCCCCCCGCACACAGGAATGACTTAAGGAATGACTTATACTTATACTTCATTGAAGCTTACCACAGCCAAGTACAAGAGTGTCGATGCATCAAACCTTTCAGCTCTTTCCTGCCACAGGACCAGCATCAAAAACCTGGTAGCAAAGTGGTAGCGTGCCCCTAACACCATCTGCCTCATCTTGGGCAGCTTTCAACTTTTCCTGAAAATCAATGTCAGTGTTCAAGGATTTTGGGCCTTTCTCACAATTACGTGGCAAAGAAGAATGGCAAAATTGTTTGAGTTGTGCGGAATCACAGAAAATTGTTTCAGTATGAAAAACTGTTCATGATACCACAGTGCTGCAAGTTTCCTCTGCTTCCGCCGCTGCAGCTTCTGCTCGTTCCTTCTCCTCTTCCACCTGCAGAAAAAACTTGCGGGGTGAACTTCTGGTTGATAGGGATTCCCATTCCACTCGCCTGGAGTCAATCCCTTTTTCTCTACTTGGAATTGGCCCAATATCATATCAGCCATCAACCACAACACGGGACGACAAATCACTGCTCACTCCTCACTCTTTTGTGTTGCCAGCCTCCTTCTTGGCTGCCAAGGTTTCCTGCAAGCTCTGTGCAGATGCTTTGGCTTCCTCCTGACATGCAAATTGGTTGAAACATGCTGAAACGAACCTTTCTAGTGAAGGTGGTAAAACGGTGTTGAGATGGCTGCTCCTACTCCAAAAGATACACTCCTGCGGCAAATCATGCAGCAAGCACATTTTTCTGTTGATTGATATCTCAATAATATGGTTCAAGTATGTTCAAGTTGTAAGAGAGTCTTGGGGCCATGAAACTGTCTCACCCGCCGCCTGTGCAGCTTCCAGCTTTTGCTTCAGCTGGTTCTCCTTTTCATCTGCCTCTACACAGGAGTTGCAAACCCAGCACGCCAATCCAATTCGTAAGGCTTCTGCTCCGGCAAACCATGTCATTTGCTGATTGTCTTACCCCGCATTGATGAAACGTAGAACACTACCAGTAGGCCAAGGTATCCTCCTTTCCATCATTGAAAAATGCTTGGCCTCCTTCTTCATTGAGATCGTCAAACGCTCAGATTTGTCCTTATCCGCCTGGCAAAACTCTGTGACGTTTAGGGAAAATGCCACTACTGTACCTGTACCTTGCACTTCCTTACTGCCAGCATCCGCCAGCATCCGCCAGCGTGGTGCGAGTCGCTGCACCTCCAATTTGTGAAGTTCGCTTCGAAGGTCACTAATCACCTGGAAGCTGTCACCGTTTTCTTGGAGACACGCACTTAGTCACTTCCTTTGGAAAAAAAATGCAACGGCATTGGTGGAGTGTTGAACTTGCTGAAGTATATAATGCACATCGCTTTGACTAGGACCCTATCCAGCAATCTTGTCAGGTCGTGTAGCTGGGGGTGGGCCTCGTTCTTCTCACTTAGCCTCTCCTCCAAGGTTGTCTTGGCAGACTGGCACGTACAGGCAGAATGATCTGTACTCACTCATAGTTTGACAAGTGACCCCGGCCAATCGAAAACCACTCACAAACATGGTAATGCCACACGATGATACAACATTTATTGGAACAACAACAACAACACCAACACCAACACCAACAAGACCAACAAGACCAACAAGACCAACAACACCAACAACACCAACAACAACACCAACAAGACCAACAACGCCAACGACACCAACAACACCAACACCACCACCACCACCACCACCACCACCAACAACAACACCAACAACACCAACAACACCAACAACACCAACAACACCAACAACACCAACAACACCAACACCGGAAGCAAGTTGATTCCCAAGGAAACAAAGATGAAGGTAGAAAATTCCAATTGAACCGAACGTGTGTTTCTGTTTCAACACGTGTCTCAAGTTGTCCAGGTACAGTACTGTGTTCTATCAGGTGCCCTGGCCTCTGCGGTGGCCTTGGCTGCTTCCATCTCCGCCAATTTCTCTTTGAGCCGAACACTGGCCTGGCAGGTATGCCCAAGATCTGCCGCACAATCACTGGTTGCAGCCCTTGTATTGTTTTTGTTCGTTTGTGGCATTTTGCCTCGGTTTGGACATGGATGTTTATCATCGATCTTAAAGTAAGGGGAATTTATGATAGCTATACACTAATAGGTGTAGATTGGCTATGCCCACACTCCATTTCATGGGCACATCAGCACTGAATCAGCGTGTTATTGAAGCGTGTCATTGAAGCAACAAAAATAACGGGAAAAAAATCCTCGCATGTCCTTCTATGCGCATGAAACGATAAGGTGATGCGCCAATCTGGCATATCACGATTCCTTCAGGCCACCATTTCTGCTACAGAATTTTGTCATTTGAGACAGAAAATGAACCGCAAATTCGGCCAATCACCTGATCCCCAGAGAGCTGGGCTTTCAAATGGGCCGCTGCCTGACAAGGATGACTTGTGGACCGTGCAAGCCAGAACAGGGTATACTCTGTTGCACCTCTGATCCAGCAAGCTACAATTTGTGACACAGGCAGGGACGCTTCCAAATAAAGTGTGTGCAAAAATGAGGCATACCGCATTTCATGCTCCTGACAATAGGAGGACAGTGAGGTCTTCAACCAACCATTTTTTTTAACGGGGGGCGGGGGGAGTCCCTGTTTTGAGGAAAACCTATGCTGAACCTCTTCTTGACTTGCTCGGAGTTGATCTTCAAGATCTTTGTTGGCAGCCTATCCACTGGCTCTTACAGGGTTGCCAAGGGCCAGCATCACCATCTGCTGGAAAGCTTGGCTGGATTCACATCAAGTAGCAGGAATCATCTGCAAATGCCCCAAAATGATAGTGACTGGGAACCTGCAGCTGCTCCAGGCGTTTGTTGATCTTTTTCTCTTTCTCTTCCGCCTGCCGAAAGAATGCGGACCAGATCTGGCTGAGAAATTCGTGGCCACCCGCATATTTTGGGTGCGGGAGGACGTATAACCACACATGATCGTCGAATACTAACGATACTGTTGACAAAGTGGGCCTCTTTTGCGTCTTTCTGGGCTGTTCTTAATTCCTGCTGTAATGTTTCTTTCTCTGCCTGAAAGCAACTGAGCACAAATCGCCAGTAGTCAATCTGTCTGCCTCAATGTCTGGAGCAATTCAGCAAACAACACGTGGTTGGAGGTTGGTGCCTTCAGGGCGTCTGCCGTTCCAGCAAGGCTCTCTTCTTTTTCTTGCGCCTGAAGGCAGTAAACCATAGATAACCATAGTAAACCATTCGCACTAGAGAAATGTCACGGATTGAGCAAATATGGTGCAATAGTCGCAATAGTCGTATACTAGAAAACAAATCCGCCCACACCGCTTTGGCGGTGAAGGCGTGCTTATTGGGGGGCAACAGCAACACTAAATGCTCAATGACATTTGTTAATATAGCAGTCACTATATCAGCTTAGCTGGGGGGGGGCCAAAAACGGTTTCGCACCGAGACCAGAATACGGTGGTGTTTTCGACATTTTTCGAGGATTTTTGGGTGTCTGAGCGCAAGAGGGTATTGAAATGGAATTTTGGGTCATTTTGGTAGCTTTCCGGCAATGGAAACCGACCAAAAATGAAAAAAACATTGTACATAGCAAGATTTTGCAGGGTTTTTGGATGCCAGAGCATTGAAAACACTGCAAAAACAAGTGTTTTGGACTGACGTTACAGCAAAAAACGTGTAAATTACCGTATGCTTGACTGGAAACATTACAAAAACACTGTCAAAAGCAATGTTTTGGAAGGATTTACTGCCTTTATGGCAAAAAACGTGTAAATTACCGTCTGTTTGACTGGAAACATTGGAAAAACACTGTCAAAAACAATGTTTTGGAAGGATTTCTTATATATATATTTTTTTTTTCCTACGGCCTTTTGTGACTATTGTCGCGGCGAAGCTCTTTGAATTCATGGAATGTGCCCATTATCTCTTGCCAACACGTTTCTGGTGATAATCCGGACCGATACGACTCCCAAAACCATTAACATGCATGAGTCTGCACCGCTCCAAGAAATCATGGTCAACAGAAACTTCATCAGACGTATCACTCTGCAAGAGATGATGAGCAAAGGATTCACCCAACGCACGGTTTAGTGCTGGAGGGTATTCCTTAAGCCCTGTGGTGGCCCATTGGCCTTTTGCATCTTTCCCAATGGCCGCCGTCTTTGGCAGGTCAGCACAGAGGCGGTGGGAATGGATGAATTGTGGCAAAGTGTCCATGTTGAGGGTGAGAAAACGTGTGGGCTTTGGTGTCTTCGCACCCAATAACCCCTGTGCAAAATCCACGTACTCGAACCCTGGCAAAAGACACAAAAATTTGAGGATTGGGAGCCGCCAGATCGAAGGTTTATTCGGGTCTTTATATATATATATTGGAGTTGGCTACCGGCATTGGCACATGGAAAAATTGAAGAAAACACTCTAAATAGCGGTATTTTCAACGGTTGGGGAGATAAGGGAATTGGAAGCATTGTCGAACATGATGTTTTCGACCGGTTTTATGGCGACAAAAGTGTAAAGTACCGTGCTTTGAAGGAAACCATTGCAAAAACATGGAAACACATTCAAAGAACACGGGATTTGGGGGACTATCTAGGCGTCGTTGTCTAGCTATTTGAAATTCCGCAGCTTGGAGAGCCTCCAAGGGAGGGAAAAGTGAAAATTCCATAGCTTGGGAAGCTGTCACGGCGGGGAAAAGTGAAAATTCCCTAGCTTGGGAAGCCCCCACGGGGGGGAAAAGTGAAAATTCCCTAGCTTGGGGAGCCCCCACGGGGGGGAAAAGTGAAAATTCCCTAGCTTGGGGAGCCCCCACGGGGGGGAAAAGTGAAAATTCCCTAGCTTGGGGAGCCCCCACGGGGGGGAAAAGTGAAAATTCCCTAGCTTGGGGAGCCCCCACGGGGGGGGAAAAGTGAAAATTCCCTAGCTTGGGGAGCCCCCACGGGGGGAAACCACCCTTAGCCCCTCTCACGGACCGAAATAAACCTGCGGTGTGGGCGGCCACCCCACGCGAAGCGGGGTGAATACCATATGCTTCAATTTCCGAGATCCTGCACTAGTGCACACCTTTGCTGAAAGTGAAAGGAAAGTGAAAGGAAAATTCTGGCTGACTTTTTGCTTTCACTGATCAAGCAACACCGTCAGCTCTGGTTGAACACCACATGTTTCTTGATCGTGACCCAGGGACCCTGACCTCTTGCTTGGCCGTTTCAAGTAGTTTCTCCAGTTTCTCTTTGTCTGCCTGCAATCGATGAGCCGAGGAGGGTTAAGGACTGGGGTTGCAAAGTATGCTATCGTTTCAGACTTTTTGGTTACACTCACACTTTGTCCAAAATCTTGACCTCAAAGTTGTGTTCTGCAACATGTGACTTGCCTGCATGGATTCGATGGTGGAAGCAAGTCTCCTCTCTTTTTCTTCAGCCTTGGAAACATTGAGCAACACAAGAATGCAGGACATAGTCTGGGAGTAAAGCATCAAAATTATCCAGAATTTTACATGTAAGGTCTTGCATGATACGAAACTGGCATCGGAAACACAGAAATGCACTTGACACGGCATCAGGTGATGTTGGTCTGCCTCCTGAACCGTTGTTGAAACATGTTCCAGGTTCTCCTTCTCTTCCTGGCTAAGCATGCAAAGAATCGCTTAGAGATGCCTGGAATTCTCTGGCATCTCCATACATCTACAGCTACCATCAGCTACCATCAGCTACCATCAGCTACCATCAGCTACCATCAGCTACCATCAGCTACCATCAGCTAACTGTAAATGAAGTCATGCCATGTTTCATGTTGTATCATTTTGTGCTATGCAGTGTTTTGCAGTGTTTCTTGAATACCCTAAGATGCACTAAGTAGCATTGCATCTGGCGAGTTCTGCCTGACTGCTTTTCAGGGCTTCTGCATGTTGTTTTTCCCTCTCCTCAGCCTCTGTCAAACATGTCATGTCTATCACGCGTTTGAGAACAAGACAAACCATAACTCATACCACACAAATGACATCGAGTGACTATGATTGTGGCATTACAAAGACGCCCAAAATCTTTCGCGCCTCAGCTTTTGCAGTTTCTAGCGATTTCTCCAGGGCCTCTTTTTCTGCCTCTCGATTGGTCGGTTTTCGGCTCTCGCACGAAACGTTATCAAACACTATCAACAAAAGAGCTCCGCGATTTGTCGGCTCTATGTCGGCTCTTGGGGAATGCAGTGAGTCAAAGGAGGATTCATCAAACAAAGTCAATCGACAGCCAAGACGAACACAATTTGCGAATTGAAAGCGCATGCTGGGACGCAGGACAACGTTGGAAGATTTGCTTGACCAGATTTCCAGTACATACAGATGCATAAATAGTTAAAGAGAAATACCCAGCTGTCAAGCTGTCCAACAAGTCGTGCACAAATATGTTCCCAAATATCCACACAAATCTCGTGCAACATCTTGCAATGTTCACCCCCAGACTCACAGCCTGAGCTGCTTTCACTGCGTCCGCCCGCTCTATCTCCTTAGCCTCCGCCTGCAGCAAAGAACCCTCCCGCGCCAAGACATGCCAAGACTGTACATCATTTAGATTCCAAGCGACTACATCATCAGTGTTCACACGTTCTGACATGATTTGCATGGACAGCACTTGCAGTCTGCACATTCAATGGATCAGGATGGATGAACGCCGTCAGCTCTGGTTGAACACCACATGTTTCTTGGTCGTGACCCAGGGACCCTGACCTCTTGCTTGGCCGTTTCAAGTAGTTTCTCCAGTTTCTCTTTGTCTGCCTGCAATCGATGAGCCGAGGAGGGTTAAGGACTGGGGTTGCAAAGTATGCTATCGTTTCAGACTTTTTGGTTACACTCACACTTTGTCCAAAATCTTGACCTCAAAGTTGTGTTCTGCAACATGTGACTTGCCTGCATGGATTCGATGGTGGAAGCAAGTCTCCTCTCTTTTTCTTCAGCCTTGGAAACATTGAGCAACACAAGAATGCAGGACATAGTCTGGGAGTAAAGCATCAAAATTATCCAGAATTTTACATGTAAGGTCTTGCATGATACGAAACTGGCATCGGAAACACAGAAATGCACTTGACACGGCATCAGGTGATGTTGGTCTGCCTCCTGAACCGTTGTTGAAACATGTTCCAGGTTCTCCTTCTCTTCCTGGCTAAGCATGCAAAGAATCGCTTAGAGATGCCTGGAATTCTCTGGCATCTCCATACATCTACAGCTACCATCAGCTACCATCAGCTACCATCAGCTGACTGTAAATGAAGTCATGCCATGTTTCATGTTGTATCATTTTGTGCTATGCAGTGTTTTGCAGTGTTTCTTGAATACCCTAAGATGCACTAAGTAGCATTGCATCTGGCGAGTTCTGCCTGACTGCTTTTCAGGGCTTCTGCATGTTGTTTTTCCCTCTCCTCAGCCTCTGTCAAACATGTCATGTCTATCACGCGTTTGAGAACAAGACAAACCATAACTCATACCACACAAATGACATCGAGTGACTATGATTGCGGCATTACAAAGACGCCCAAAATCTTTCGCGCCTCAGCTTTTGCAGTTTCTAGCGATTTCTCCAGGGCCTCTTTTTCTGCCTCTCGATTGGTCGGCTCTCGCAGAAAACGTTATCAAACACTATCAACAAAAGAGCTCCGCGATTTGTCGGCTCTTGGGGAATGCAGTGAGTCAAAGCAGGATTCATCAAACAAAGTCAATCGACAGCCAAGACGAACACAATTTGCGAATTGAAAGCGCATGCTGGGACGCGGCGGAATGTTGATGTTGGAAGATATGCCTACAGTATCTTACGACAGTATACAAGAGATACATGAAGCAAAATCCCCGACTGTATCATGCTGTCGTGCGCAATGTATGTTATCAAATATATATCTGGCAATATCTTGCAATGTTCACCCCAAAACTCACAGCCTCAGCTGCTTTCACTGCATCGACCCGCTCTATCTCCTTAGCCTCCGCCTGCAGCGAAAACGCTCCCGCACAATGATGGATTCCATTTGTTCTTTGTAAATCCGGTAATCATCCAATGTATCGATGATGCAACAGATGGTGATTGATTTGCTGAGGGGTTCATCGCCTCAGCCTTTGCGGTTTCCAGCGATTTTTCCAGTGCCTCCTTTTCTGCCTCGCCAGCTGAGGGTCTGTGCTCTGACAAGAGAATACAGTTGATATTAGGGTTTCTCCGGAAAAGGGGGATAGTGGACACCTCCATTTATGATCCGGTATTCCATTATGGCCATTTCAATCCATGTCACATGATTATATACCACAGTTGATATGATCCGGTATTCTGGATACCTCCAAGATGGATGGCCATGCAATATATGATGATTACTGGATTCGGCAGTTCCATATTTTGAGACAAAGCCCTGCAGCTGAACACTGGACATCGCTAAATTCAAGAGGTGAATCACATTCTCTTGATGGAACATGCTGGAGTTGGGAGGCCTTCTAACTCGGACTGGACGTAATACGAGTACTCGCATGATATGGCATCCATAACAAATTAATGACTGCCATGTTGCCCGGACATGCTGAAGAAAGCCATGGAAGAAAAACAATAACAACAATAATAAACATTTAAAAAAAAACATATACAGCCATATAATCACATGCCATGTCAATCACAGTCTCACAAAAGCAACCATAACAATGATCCAAAATTTTCAAAGTCCTGACAACAAATCTCGCAGCCTGAGCGGCTTTCAGGGCATCGGCATGTTGCCTTTCCATCTCTTCGGCCTGCAGCCAACCCGCAAAAACAGCAGTGCGTCCGATGCGCGATCCTCTGCACAATTTGGGACTGTCCAAACAGGAATGCCCCAAAATTGCTGTTTTCGAATGTACAATGATGATTTACAGGTGCCTAATTTTGGGACACGCCAATCTGGAGCAGGACTGTCTTGGGTTTTAGAAGTCAAATGAAAGATACGGGGGCACCGGCACCTCTGCTTTTGCTTCCGCAAGCTTCTTCAAATGTTCTCTTCCTGCCTCGTCTGCTCTGTTTGGGCGAAAATGAAGCAACCACCACTTCAAATGAATCAAACCTCCTATCAGAGAATGCTATTGCATCCCGATGACGGATGGTAACGGCAGACGGCAGTATCAGCAAACATCTGCCAGATTCTGTCACCTGTAATATCCTGTAATTACATTTCTTTAAAGATAGTAGAGGAGAAACTGACAGGATCTGTAACTTCCTACTGACACAATTTGTGGAATTTCCTCCTATTGCTTCTGTATCTTGAAATTAGACCTTCTCCTGAGCAGCAACTGATACGTTGAACTGAAAAAGCACTCACATGTCTGATCAGCAACATAATCAACATACATATGCTTCAAACCTGAGGTAATAAAACCTAACAAACCTATAATTATATATATTGATTTGATCACCTTAGCCAATCCAAATCAGTGAGAGATTGTTCCCGCAAATCTGCTGGTCTTGGCTGTGCCTGTAGTTGCTTGTTCTCTGCCTGCAACTTCTGAATGACCTCAGCATTCGCTGCATCAGCCAGGCAGCAGTGGTGCCCCCTAGTTAGGAGTATCAACCCATGAACTATAGCTGTACTATAGCTATCATCACCTTAAACCCTAGTTAGGCTAGTTGTATAAACCAATCTAGCTAGCTATAGGGCACCAACCCGGTATAGTTCGCTGGCAGAGTGGCTTCTTCTTTTTGTCGAAGCTTCTCTTCCAGCTCTGCCTTCTCGGATTCCAGCTGTCGAGAATTGACATCTCCAGCCTGGTAAGAAACCAGCCATGTGGCCAGGGACGGCAAGCTAGAATCAAAGCCATGCAGAGGTAGTGGAATGCCGATTCTTACTGAGATATGAGATCTGGCCTCCCGATTTAATGTTCACATTTTGCCACAACAATCTAACCAGAAAGTGACTACGATTTGATAAGGGGGCGTTGAAAACATGTCTTCTTATTCTTCTTATTTCTTCTTTCAAATCTAGTACATTCAAATTTCAAAGGACCAGGATTCGAGGATTTCATAGGATTTCAATATCCGGTGGCCTGATTTCCATTAGCCAAAAGTGGCCAAGGCGCTAAGGCGCCATGTCAAATCTTGGAGGCTTTTGGGGGGTCCGAAAAATTTTTGGACAACCGAAAAAGGAAGGCTGGTAGTCCATTCATAACCGTTGGCCAACCGAACGGAACAAACATGACTGGATGCTTCGCATCCAGGCTTGCAAGGCTGTTTAGCATCGCCTCCGAAATAATCTCCCGATATCAGATACAGTAGCAGTCGAAACATATCAAAGCATCACAAAACATTCTGTCACAAAACCAGTTGAGCTTCAACCACTTAGATGTTGTAAAACTGAAGGTTTTCTGAGGTGGGCCCCTGTGGGATCTGTATGGATCTGTGGCTTTTCTGAGCCTCGCTCTGAGCCTCGCGCCTCAAGCTGTGCCTTTGCAGCTTCCAAGTCCCGCAAGGTGGACTGCAGCTTTTCGGTGGCCTCAGGGGTTTTCACAATGTGCGAAGCGATGGACCCATTGGCCCATTGGATGGGTTGGATGGTATTGAAAATCATGAAAAATCAAATGATTGTGGTTGTATACATATATAATTTATATAATTTATATAATTTTATATATAAAGCTATATATACACATGATATCACATGATAATCACCATCGATAGTCAACCAGCCACCCAGAAATAACCATCCATGGCAGTAATTGAGAGAGATGGATATGATTGACAATCAGTAAGCAAGAACTCTTCTCAATATAGATGTCATGAGCCAATCATGTCAATGTCTGCATTGTCAGGCATTGCAACCTCAGTCTAGCCAAAAATTAAGCTGCAACTAAGCCGATGATTTGGAGTTATAACATGATTTCCATCACTGATTGTCCAAACAAAATCAAACAAATGTGTACCCCAAAATCCATAAGTGAATCATCCTGTTCCTCATTTAATGGCCATATACGCCCATAAAATGGGGGTACCCCCCACCCATCTTCGAAATCAAGGGCCTTCTCGGCCTTCTTTGCCGATGCTGCAGACTCTTGCTGTAGCTGAACCTCCGTTGGTAAATCGGATGTGTTCATCAGCTACTGATGAAACATCACATCAGGGGTTTGGCCAAAAAACATGAGCAATTGATTGGCAACTTGCACTTGGAAAATGATGAGATGAGAAACATTGAGAAACCATGGGATGAAATGGGATATTTTCCAACAAAGCCATGATGGAATGGGATATTAGAAAGCCCGCCTCTGCTTGGTGGGCTCGCTCTCTCAGTTCGTCCTCGTTTAGTCAACCAACCCACGAACATGCAGATCATGCAATGCTTGTGTGTCGAAACTCCGAAAGTGGCACGTTTTTGATGGATTTCCTATGGACCACCGCAAGGTCGAGAACATCATGGCACCCCAAATGACTCAGATTCCAACTTTTTCAACTTCAGCAGCTGCCAATGCGCGCTCAGCCTGACAAAATTCCAGATTGCATTGCCAAGAAACTGTGATGGGTGTGCCAAGAAATGGATAGAAATGGTGGATTTGCCGCAATTATATCCACTTTATTCCACTTTAATTTATGGCCATATGCCGGAACGAGGATTTAGCTCCCATATCATCGCTGTGCAATGAGAAAAACCCCATGATTTTAAGCCCCAACTCTCTGGCGGATTCCAAAGTACCTCGGAGAGTTCCTCCTGCAGACCACGCTGTGCAGCTGACGCCTCGGTGGTCGCTGGGATTCCCTGAAGCAGATGGGATGGGTCCGTCACTATCCGTCACTTATTCTGGTGAGAACCAACCAGTTATTCTGTCTGTCTGTCAAGCCGTGCGCCGCGCGGCGCATGGGCGGCTCCAACTCCATACATATGCACACAACATGCAGACTAAAAACTTAAAGGCATTGTGCTACAAGGCAGCCTGACTGGCCCCAATCGATTCATTGGTTCAAAACCAGTTGGCGCCATTGCTTTTCATTCTGGACAAAAAATAACAGATTGCGAGTACTACCTGTAAAGGAAAGTGCTAAAGAAAAAACTTCAGGTATCCACTCTTTACGAGGCCGGCCTACCCTTCTCAGATATCGAGATGTAGCAGCAGTGTATGTGCCAGGTTCAAACGAGACTTGTCTCAGAGGGTGGTTCGGGTGGCAACGCAGAATCTTTCCCAAAAGCAACAGCTGTTTTCGTTCAAGAAGTTTGGACATTGGAACGTGCGCACTTCGTTGCCAGACTTCAGCGTTGGATGTTCTGGACAAGAAAGATGGCTGTATTCCCAAAATAGAACGCAAACATCTGTTCTGGAAACCATCTAAGCGACGTTTTTCTTGCTTCGTCAAAACCAATGCGCACAGGCTATAGAGGAGCCTTGATTCAACCACAGTTTTGTAAATCTGCACTTTTTGGCGGTAGTGCAGCGATGAATGTTTCCAAACCTTCTGCAGTGCCGCAAAATCACTTTTGGCAATCCCAATGCGTCTTGATAGTTCGTTGCCGTGCTTACCATCAGCAGTCATCATCGTGCCCAAGTACATCATACATTGCTGTGTCTGTATGCACGTGTTGTCTGGTAAACGAATATCAGGATTGCAACGCACACCTAGGAGTTGGAATTTGCCATAGTGAAGTTCCATGCCATACTTGCGACCAGTTATTGGGGATACAAAACTTTGACCCAAACAAATGGGGGTTGGAAAATGGTCTAACTACGCAGAACTGGGGGTTGGAGTCAATTGGGACTATGGTAGACTATGGGGCCCCTGTTAGTGGGGGCCCATCATTTTCTGCAACAAATGGGGTACCAATAGACCCACCAATCCTTCTTGGGACTGAAAACCATCCACCATCCATTCTGTGGGACCACTTCGTACCCATATGTACTATACTCTTATCTATATTTCCCCGTGTATATGAATATGATTGAATATGTATTAAATTATGTCTATCTATGCAATTGTGTGTGTGTGTTTACGTATCTATTCATTTATTATGTGTGCGTGTACATTGTGTATGTAAATACATACATAATTAAAGTATATATACATATGATATGCATGTAATACAAACATATTATACTGTAGGTAATATACATATACACATACACATATCTTATATGCTATACGTATATATAGAATTATATATATATATATACGTGTATATATATATATATGTGATATGATATGATATGCATGTGACAATGTGGTGCAAATCTTTGGCTTGATGGAAATTGCCCAAAGCTCCAATCCAAGCCTCTCTGCACTGGGCTTCCAAGGTGGCAATTTTGGCCTCGAGACAGAGTACTGCCTGATGAGATCTCTGTCAGCTGCTGAACTTCAAAATGGTGGCTGATGATTATTAATGTTCCCAGTAGTAAAGTCGCAAGAATAAACCACCAGTGTTTTGATGGTTTATACCACCCATTTATGGCAATATTGGAGATGGTTTGCTATTTTGCTTTGCTAACATTAGGGGTGAGCATCAGTTCTCTGTTCAGTATGCATGTTCTTTCAAGACCATGCAACACCATTCGAGTAGATGCCTCGAACTCTTTGGTTGCCTCCAGCGTGCGCTCCTTGTTCCAGAGATCACAATGGCTTTGGCAGAAAAAGAAATCTGGTGCAATGGAAGCACTGAAAAAATGGTAAGGACATAGCCATGTCTTCGGACAGCAATCAACCAGCAACCAACTCTTGCAGCTTAGGATCAGATTCAGGTTTCTCAGCTGGCTTCTTGGCCTTGCATAGACAAGCTTTGCTTGCCGAGAAATGTTCTTGCTAGATGGGTTGGTCCACAACTGGGGTATACACCAAATCCACTGGTGTTTTTTCTACATTCCCAGTTTCTGGGAAATTCCACTATTAATCCACTTTTCAGTGGGATAAATATGTTGATCCACTATTAAGACACACCTCGGTTTCAAAACCGTCGGCTGAGCTCATTGGCCAGTTCGGCTTTGGCAGCAGCTGCTTGTGCCTCAACAGACAGCCTTACTTCTTGCTGTTCATATCGTTTTAATTCTTTGCATGGGCGTGTTCATGTTCCGGGCTTCAGGGTGCTTTGACAAACTACGTAATTATGGATGTATATGATGTATATTATATGTCTATAATATTGTTATATAATGCGGGCTACCCTGGGTAAAATCACTAGGGTGACCCCCCAAAATAATTTCTGGGATTTATTCTGAGGTGCTTCTAGTACATAACCCACTACAACATATTTTTTTCCAAAACACTCTAACCACCCCAAAATAATATCCTTTATCACTACCCACCTCCTCAAAATAATTTCTGAAAATTTGCAAATAAATTATTTTGTAGGGTTCTACTATTACTCAAAAACACTTCCCTTAGTTCAAAATAATTTTGGAAATTATTTCAAGGTGGTTTAAGATGGTTTTGGATGATTGAAAAAACAAGTAGAACCACCTCAAAATAATTAGCAAAAATCCCCACAAAATTATTTTGGGGGGTCACCCTACCTATCCTCCCGAATGCACCCGACAAGCATTGTCGGAATTTCATGATTTAGACCATCGATTTTTGGACAAAGAAATCTGAATCGACCCCTTCCTACCCCATAAATTATTTTGGGGGTGGTTAACTACTAAACCACCCCAGAAATAATAATAGCCTAAACTGGCAAAATTAACTTCCCATTGAGTAGTTCAAAATCCAAATTGCTTCGAACAGACAAACCCTGAGATTTACCATGAATTACTTGCTGAACTAATTATTTTTTAGAACATCGACTTAGCATCGGCTTTTGGGCAAAGAAACCTGAATCGATTCCTCTCTCCCCAAAAATTATTTTGGGGGTGGTTAACTACTAGGCCACCCCAGAAATCCAAAATAACCTAACCTTGCAAAACTCAACTTCCCTGGAATAGGTCAAAAATGCCAAACCTGATCCAAATTGACCCAAACTGTCTGAAAGAATCAAACCATGAGAACCTAATTATTTTGGGGGTGGTTAACTACTAAACCACCTATGATTTAGACCATCGATTTTTGAACAAAGAAATCTGAATCGACCCCTTCCTACCCCATAAATTATTTTGGGGGTGGTTAACTACTAAACCACCCCAGAAATAATAATAGCCTAAACTGGCAAAATTAACTTCCCATTGAGTAGTTCAAAATCCAAATTGCCTCGAACAGACAAACCCTGAGATTTACCATGAATTACTGGCTGAACTAATTATTTTTTAGAACATCGACTTAGCATCGGCTTTTGGGCAAAGAAACCTGAATCGATTCCTCTCTCCCCAAAAATTATTTTGGGGGTGGTTAACTACTAGACCACCCCAGAAATCAAAAAAAACCTAACCTTGCAAAACTCAACTTCCCTGGGATGTGTTGGGATTGACGGGATGTGGCTTGAATGAAGTTGGAAATGGCTGCAGATTGATTCAAAGAAGATCCTGACTGAACATGTTGAAATATGTAGTTGAAATTTGATGTAATATGCTGAAATTATTTTGCAGGTGGTTTGCAAGTACCCCCACCCCATGAAATAATTTTCATCATGGGTGTCTGGTAATTATTTTATACAGTTGGAACTATATGAAATAATTTCCCCAGTTCAACTGAGAAATTATTTTGAGGTGCCTTAAGTTGTTTGTTTAAAATTTTCAAGGTGCTTCAACCTCTGTAGGTGGAAAATTATTTTGCACCATCATCAAGGTACGGGTGCAAAAATTATTTTGCTATGGCTCTTGTCGGGTGATTTTAACATAAAATTTATGTTAAAAATTGGAAATTATTTTTAAAAAAATATTTTGGAACCAACCCCCACCTCAAAATAATTTCCTAAGGTAGGACGCATGTTATATATATAACAATGTATAATATATATATAACAATGTAATACAATGTATATAATTAACATATTATATATATTTATATATAAAAGATGGATAGATGATGATAGTATATACAGTTGTTGTAATAATATTACTGTGTATCATAAGAATCACTTCGAAATCCTCGCCCCAGTGCCTTGGCTTCCTCCAGATCCTTGCTCTGATACCCGAGACGAGCCTCAGTGCACAGTAGGGAAGGGATGGGACCGGGGGAATGATCCATAACAACTAGACTATTAACCAGTTGTTAACACCTATGAACAATCATCCCATTCCCATCCATTCATATCCATTCCCCATCCCCTACTGAGCACAAGTAAAATGAGAGGTGTGTTTCTTCCACTACAGCAGTGACACTTAGGAAAGCCGCAGCATCTTCAGCTGCCTCGAGAGCCTCCTTCTCTTTCTCAAGTCGGGATTTCTCCTCAAGGATCCGAGCCAGGCTCTCCTGCACAGGGGATCGCCATGAGCGAATTCAATGCGCCCCCCACTGCCCCTTCCTACGTGATTCCATGTGATTCCCACAGTCTGGGAAGGTCTTATGCAAGGATCAAAGAGAATCAACAAGGATCAACACACACCCCAAGCTTGGAATGGCTGAAATGGCCCACCTTGGTATGCGTGATGGTTTCCTGGTTATCCTCCAGCTCTGCCTGATCTCGTGTATTTTGCAGCCACAGTGAAGCGACTTCAGCACAACAACATCGAAAGTTCTTGGTGCCAGAGACTAGAGTTGAGTAGAGCAGCATAAGCTGGTGCTTTGTAGAAAAGACATGAAAAGACAACGTTCAAGGAGAAGGGACGACAAGCACTCATATCATGAAGCTGTTCGGATCAAAGGGGCAAAAACAAATATTCCCAAACCCTTGAAACATCTTGAAACTGCAGGAGCCAGTTTTCGCGATAGTATCATGGCATATCATTGCTAATTACTTGGGATGACCATGATCAATCTGTGCAGAATGCTGCACTAATCCACGAGAATCCAGGCAAATCATCGAACGATGCCTCCATGTTCCGCTGGATCCTGTCTGCTTGCTGCCTGCATTTGACATTGAAACGACCGCATACTTTGACAAATCCATGGAATTAAGATGAATCAACTTATCAACTCGATAACACGAGCATAGACTACCTGTACCTCATCCTGACTTGCCAAAGTTGAAGGAACACATAGGAACACAAATTTGGGCGTCTTGCGCCAACTTCCTGGCTCGCCGTTTCTCAAATGTGTCGACTGATTACCGAACATTCCATAAGCAGCACTATTCGAGCTGCGGAAAATATGGCTGGTACTTTACTTAATCAACGGGATGTTCCTACATCATGTTCCATTCCCGGACCTCATTTTGCCTACCCCATTCTCGAGGCCTCGTTTTGCAATCTTTTTTTTGTATTTTCAGCAGCCGGGGTACACCCCAAGCTAGCCACTTCCCCCAATTAAATTCGCCACTCACTTTCGACTCAGTGCAGATTCCGACATCTTCGGGTGAACTTTGCACAACGAAGACTGGTCCCTGGTCGAGCACCGAGCTCGCAGAAACTTGGCATTGCCAAAGCTCTAATGACTCAAATGCGGTCAAGCTGAGATCAGCAGAGATTGACAGAGATTGGATCTGTTCGAGATTGCTGCCATCATCTGCCATCTAATGTCCATCTAAAGGAGAAATGCGATGATCCCATGATTATCCATCAAGAATTGGAGTTGATCCCACTGATCCCAATCTTCCCTGTCAACCGCAAGAACGAAGCGGCTTGAACAGCCGAAACGCGGAAGCAATCTGAAGCAAAGCATTGGCTTCTCAACTGCTCCTCACGCTTTTTGGCCAATTTTGTAGGGACTTCGGCCCTCTCAGGGCAAAATCAGGTCCTGAGCAAGGGTGTAGTGTAAAGTCATGGAAAGTCCAGGACACAAACAGCTAGGTCATGAAGATTATCCTCTGGTAAGTACTGAAGTGGCCAAGACTACCCATTTTCAGGGTGGTTTTCTGAGTCCAATTGCTTGATCCGCCTGCAGTCGTCTCTGGCAGTCAGCATTGGACGCGCAACACACTTCCTTTTTCCTTAGACGAAATCTGCAGCGACAACTCCGGAAACGGAGAAAACTAGATTGAAAAAATGCGAACATGCATTACATACATGAGCAAGTGTCGAACCTTCATGGACAAAAATGCTTGATCTGTCAACTTTGTGAGTTCCAATTCATCTCCTGGCTTGGGCTTCCCCCTTTCAGTGTACACTTCGAGGTTCTGTGGATGATTCACTGTCACTGGGTCTCTGGCTTGGGGGACCAGTTAGAAGGCTGATCCTGCAATGATTTGACGTGCCGACAGCGGAGTCATGGAATGTCCACATCCTGGAACTACCCGCGAAGCTTCTCATGCGAATGTTCAATGCCCCATCGCAGAACAAAAGTATCACCCAAGATCACCCAAGCAATAAATCCATCATTTGTGTTCCCCTCCTTTGAGCAGTCGAAGAAGTTATCAGCCTCTGATGGCTCTGGAATGTCCACTTCATCATCTTTGCAGCCAATTCCTCAGGGAAAAAAATCACTTAACACTGACCGAAACATACCGAAACCAGTAACGTTGCAACATGTTGCAACTGGGTGCCCCGGCCAACCGTTTTGCAGCAAGCCACTTTCTGTTCCTCTGCCCAGGCAAATTGCCAGTTATCCACCTCTACCTGGCGCAAAAAGCGCTGTAACCCTGTCGTGGTTGAGAATGGTTGAGAATGGGATTCCAAATGATTCCCTGGGTCATGCATTCTGAGAATATCTAATATCAGTTAATATCAGTTAATATCAATCTATATATTGGGTACCATCTAGGGTTTTGTTGACTATACTTAAGTGCGGGTCAAGTCACGGTACAATCGAATTCTGCATAGCCACCTGCGTGCGGTCGGTGGACATACTTTGGCCCTGCCTTCACTTTGTGCAGCTGGATAAACTGTGAAATGAAACCAGATAATCGTGATAAATCAACACCACAGCAACTCTGTCACATCTAACTCCTGAGCAACGCGAAGTGTTGACCCTTGAATTGTGCCCATGTACGTAACATACCTATATGTCAATGTACACTATTGTACACTTATGTACACAATTGTACACATATCTCACATCTTCCTTTATTTGCAAACATCATATGCTCGTGGATCTTGCCGGCAAGTTCTCCACCTTGCTCCTGCTCTCTGGGCTTTTCGAGCGGCTCCCCACCCCTTCCTGGAGTGGTTGGTTCCAGATGCAAAGTGCTCTGGTTTGACGATAGAAGTCAATCCCGTCCTGACATCTGCGAACCCCTGGAGAACTTCACTGAGTCATCTTCCACCTGCAGACGGTCAAAGTATATCAGAGTCAAAGTATGGAGATCTGCAGAAAGGACAAAGTGATAATGGTTCACTCCAGTTCACTCCAGTTCACCCACTGGAAAAAGAAGCACAACATGCCCAAACTGCTTCGAAGCTGCAAAGGGCCTCCCCGCAACCAATCACCTTGTGAATACAGCACCTTGGACTTGACTGGCATTCCATCAGAGCTCAGAACAGTCCAAAAATGTGCAGTCTTAGAATGCAAATCATGATCAGAAGCGTTCCCTCCACAACACACAGCAACCCCAAAACCTACTATACAAACAAAGAAGGTATCATTGGACTTCCGCACGCTCAAAAGCTATTGTACATTGACCATCATTGACCTATGATCTGCCAGTTTTCCTCCGCGCAAGCACGAGATGGGCAAACGGCCACACCCTTTCCAAGACCTGACCTTGGACGGGAATGGGCGGCCGACTTGGTTGGCTTATCTTGGCTCGACCAACCTCAAAGGAGCTAACCTTTGATGCCGGCAAAGAAACAGTGGAAGACGTGTTTTTGATGCTTTCTTGCATTTGCCAATTGACGTATATATAGGTAAACTTGAGACTAATACCTGACTCATCACCAGAAACTTGATCGATAATCTGAGGTATAGCCAGAGCTACTGAGCTGTGCCTCTGGTAGGGACGATGATTCCCCAAATTGTGGCATGACTTCCTTTGGAAGTATGCACAGCTGGGGTTAAGAAAATATGGTCAGCCTTTTTACACTGGAGCATCCTCGAGCTGCAAAAAGCTGCTGCCATTAACAAAGCCGCTTCGGAAAAGTAGTCACATTGTTTCATGCCATGAACGGAAAAGACACAAAGATTTGATAGCTGGCATGAAAAGCTGCTTGTAGTAATTATGTCACCTCTCACCTTTTTCAAATGTTAATGTTTTAACAAACTCGCGGCTCAACTACTCTGTACCTTGGGAACCAAATCCCCCATTCAACGTGGTCAGCCTTTAGGTTCAGGTTGTCTCGACGACACTCAGGACTTATGAGTGCACCGAGAAAACCTGCCAGCCAGGCCCGCAAAACCGATTCCAGTTGCACGAATTACTGGTGAGTTTCCCAAAAATTCGGGCACAACGACTGGACTTTGGCAGCAACAACCGCAATAACTTCCATCGCGTTCTCCATTCGCGATGGACTTCGCCCGATTTCGAAAACTCAGTGCTGATCACTCGTTCTGCGCAGTGGCGAAAGCGCCAGATTTCTGAACGCTTCACCGTTTCACCAGCTGAAGCATGGCATAGATCTGGAAAGAATTTGGAAGTTTCGGTACTCAGTGGTTCAATGGGCCAGCTGAGAAGCTACTGAAGTTGTCACTCGAAAAGTTTGCCGACTAAGCTCCGATCACATATCAATACGTTCCATACACTCAGCAGGTACATTGAAATGTTCCCATTCAATGAGCTCAATATGCTCAATGATTACACAGCTTCATGAAAGCGGCTGCTTCCAGCCACATCACAAAGTTGACAGAAACTCCTTCGATTCTAAACTAAAGCAACTCATTCCATGGCTGTCTTGGACTCCTTTCGGTGGGAGAACCATCACTAAAACTCAGCGGTCAAAGCCAATTTTCTCCCGTAATTTCGCAAAGTTCATGTCCAGCAGCTGCTTCATCAAAAGCAGGAACCTTGCAAAACAAAAATCACCGGACAGGACGATGTGACACGATGGCAGTGTACTTACTGCATCTTACTGCCATGTGCCGATTCTGTTTTTCCAAGTCCAAGGAGCTCAGGAAAGTCCGCTTCATCAGTATTGCCTCGTCCATTCTGGACCTTTTTCCTGTCAGTAGTGCTTCAAATGTCCAGCCATCATGTTTAGCCTTTGAGAGGTTTGATAATTCTTTGATAAGTCCAGCCTGGTCTGGATGTCAAAAATGCGCTTCAGCTGGTGGGTGAGGTTATCACCCAAAGGTGTGATCCTGGGCCACAATTTGAGAGAGACTCTGAACATGTGGTACCGCGAATTCCGGTGTTTTGTAATCATTAAAGGCAGACTATACCACCGTACACCCCATCTTCAGCCAAACCATGCCAAACCCATGTCATACGCATGGTTCTTTGGATATCCATGGATATCCTATGAATTTCCTATTAAATCCCATGAAATCCCATTCTTGCTGATGATTAGTCCCCCATGTTCGAAACATCTACCTGCCACTGCCACCCAGCTTCGCATGGATCATGCTGCGGCAGGATTCAAAGGTTACAACCTGATGTTGGAACCAGTCACGTCTGTAGAATTCTGTGGATATGGGTGTCTGAAAATGAGCTATACCCCCAGTCATGGCCATTCTAATGTGAAAATATGGGAAGATGCTGGTGATAAACCTTCGAATCTGGAAGTATCTTATTTTAGACCCTTATTCACACACCAATTTTTGTAGACACAGTTCATCAAGCCTCTGGTGCCACAAATACAGTCTATCAGCTTTCAAGTGGTTGCATGTGCTTGCTGCATCTATTACTTTGAGGGTTTGTGCTTGATTCTGGTACAGTAGTTCCTTTCCTGAACTGGAAGTTGCTTGTGCGGTTGCCAGCTTCTTGGACGGCTTCGTTCTGACATATGTTTGCCTATATATCCACATGTAAATGGGAATTATTCACCCCATTTGCTGAGCTCAGCCACGCCATAACCTTCGTCCATTTCCAAGAAAAGCTCCCGGAAGTCTTGCACTTCTGAGCTGTTAAAACCTCTGGAAGTTCCAAGCACGGAAACCAAGGCTGAGCAATTGCAAATGAGGCTGCGCAATTGTATCTACATTTTGCATTTCTTTGCTACTCGCCGCCTGTGTTCTTGATACAGGTAGCCTCTGTTTGAGCCCGTTCTTTGTCCTGGCAGAACAAAATGATGCGAAAAGTCTGAGGACCGGCAGCCAACTGAACACTGGGAATGCTCACAGTCGCTCAATGGCAATAGTACCTATCTATGCTTTGCGTATGCTCGACTTTGCCGCAGCGTTCATCTACATCCGTGCTTAGTGCTTGCATCTCATTTCATCGTGAGATCAAGTCCTGAAAGTCTGAGATCAGGCGCATGAGCTTCAAGAAATCTTTGAAACGGAGGCAGCCCTTGAACTCCTGGCAAGCCTCCAAATGAATCCAATGGCCAAAGTCAACAAAGCAGCAATTCAAATCCATGCGCTTCTGGCAGCCATGGTAGCCCATCCTTGGCTAAATCAACCCGTCATGGCCCGCCACAGCATTTGTCATTATACTCAGGCTGTAGAAACTGGAAAACAGAGCCACTATGAGCAATTTGTCTGCTTTCATCCGAGCTCATCGCTCCAAGTCCTCCGATTTTAGATATTTTATGATATGGGTATGGATCAATACCTATTAATACCATTTTTAGGGGAATGAACATCCATTTACCAGCTATTTTGATGTTCACCAGGGGTACAAGGTTTTGACACACTGCCATATTTTAGATCACTATGATCACTAGATGTCGCCACAGGAACCCTGCCTGCATCATATCTTGGAGCTGCGGCCGCAAGGACTTCTCTCGCGCCAACGAGGGGCAAACCGTCTCCACCAAGCGAACCAAGTCCTGGACGTCCAAGGAAACACTGGCAATGCTAGTGGAATGCTATTGGAATATGATGGAATATGATGGAATATGATGGAATATGATGGAATATGATGGATTGAATGTGAATACTATGATTGAATGCAAACTCTGAGAATAAATCCAAAGAATATCCCCAACAGCAACATCTATACATGAAAAAATCAACACATGTTTGTCGGAATGATGTTTGAGAGCTGTTTGAGATAAACCGAGAAAAAACCTTGATTGACCATCTGTCGGGAACAACAAAAACTTTGCTTGGACACCTGTGCCTGGACACCTTGCTTGCAGTGCGGTTTTGGCTGCTCCCAAGCTTACGCTGTTGGGGAAAAAGAGTTGAAGAGATGTTCAAAGCATGGAATGGTGAAGCAGTATGACGTTTCACGTTTCTTCATCAAAATGCGCGGATTGAGATATCTTTAGACACAATTCAAAACACCGTCCCCTGCCCCAGTGAAGCGACGCAAAATGTCTGCTGCCGTAAGTTCCCTTCCTACACAGCAAGAGATTGCTCCTTGTTGGCTATCTTTCCAATCTTCCTTGAGTCGTATCCTTAGTTTGATTCGTTGCCTGCTGATTATGATGGAGATGCGCCAGAAGTACATCACGTCTGGGTGACCGAAAATCTAGAGTTTCAGCAATTCTGCAAAGTTGCACTCAAAAAAGTCTTGTATTCAAGAGTCTGTCGAACATCACCTGCAACTCCTTCAGTTCTTCAGTGCTGAAGCCTCCGTTCTGCCGGTAGATCTCTCGCATCTCCTCAAAACTGCAGCTCTCAGCGATGCGGGGGGAACCGGGAACTGATTGCAAAATCTCATGCTTTGGTTATGCAGAACATGGAAGCAGCATTTCTTTTGTCCAACTTTCAGGCACAAGGATATGGAATCGGTGGTTCTTACTTCATGTTGGCTTTATTTGGCCTTTTGGAACAAAACAACCATATAAGATACTATAATTAAACCAAAAAAAATGCTTTCGCAATACACGGTGAAAACAAACAAATCTCTGGCTGGCCTGCGAAAGGTTACTGCAGGCACGAGTGAAGGCCTCCTCAGTAATGTGTATCTCTGCCTGAGCCACTGGTGAAGTCAGCAGTGATGACTGTGGCTAAAAACAGTTGTTTTCCCACTGAGGGATGGTCATATCCATTCATGGGGGGCTTTATATGTGTATAATTATAATTGATTATAACTAATTACATATTTATATATATATACATTTGTTTATTTATTTATCTATCTATTCATTTATTTATACATTATACATCATTTCCCCATTGTAAGGATTTCCGATTTGATGGACCATTGTAGAAACGTCTTAAATCCCCTCATAGCATTGAACTTGCCAGCCTCATCAACACTCTCGTCAAACACCAGGTGCTGCCTCAAAGGCTCTGCGTGCGACTTGTTGAATCAGAGCAGGGACCATACACGTACAATTTTCAATACATATATGGGGGTTTCCATAAATGGGGGTACCCAAAATGGATGCTTTACAATGGAAAATCCTATTTAAATGGAGGATTTGGGGGTACCCCTATTTTAGGAAACCTCCATATGTACTTATCAGAATTCATTTGGATACCATCCCAGTAGCCAGTCGTTCTGAGTTGGAAAACACTTTTGCATTTCAGGCACAGATTGCAAGAGCCTCGTTACTGAGATCTGCCGGAATAGATTCCATATGCAAACATTTGGTTTCTCATCAAGAACTATTTGGTTTCCGAGAAAATGTATAGTTATACTACATACTATAATGACTATTTGGCTTATAATAGGTGTATTCTTATAATAATGAACAGTTTAGTTTTTAAATGTATAACTATTTGGTTGCAGAAAATGCCAAGAGATTAGCTCTGAAAAGGGCCAAAGAAACCATTCCAGCAGCCCGTGGGCTCCGCACCTCTGCAACTGAGAGCCCATTTTCCGTGCGATCTCCTGGGCTGTAGTGACGCTGATGCTCTCAGCCTGCGGCGCACAAATGGCATCAGTACAGTAGCGGCCAGAGGTTATGGGGCCATGATGAATTGGAATGTATTCCTATGATAAATTCCAACATTCCTCTCTCTCTCTCTCTTTATATATACATATATATATATATATAATTATGTTAAATTGTAAAAAATAAATAAGCCCAAAGAGTATCCCCAACAGCCAGTAGCAAAAACAGTTGCCAAACACGCAATGAGTGAAGTATGTTTATTGCCCCGCCCTTCTTGCTCTAGAGGTCGGGCGTGCAAGGCGCAATCACAGCACAAACGCTTTATGAAAAAACGTTTTTTCCAAAAAGCGTTGCAATACTGTGGCCAATATTCCCAAAGCTCGTGCGAAGGGTTTTTCCCAAAGAACTGCTGTCCGCCTCACTCTTCACTTCATCTACCTAACATACATCATCCACATCTCTTATGTCCTTTACATCACCTACATCTTCTATACCATTTTCTACACCATCTTCTCTAGATCTACATCTACATCTACACCACCACCATCATCATCATCATCATCATCATCACCTACATCTGTCTCACCTACATTATCTACACCACCTACACATTTTTCCATCAACCTCATCTATAAGACATGCTCCTACATCATCATCTACATCACTACATCCTCTACATCACCCACATCACCTAAATCTTCTGCACCATCTTCCCTACATCATCATCATCATCATCAACACCATCATCATCATCATCACCACCATCATCATCATCCATCACCTACACCATGTACATCACCTACACAATCTTTTCCATCAACTTCATCTACATTCGATTGATTTCAATTTACTTTCAATTGATTTCAATTTACTTTCAACTGATTTCAATTGATTTCAATTTACTTTCAGCAAGCTCATCTTCAGCACCTATTTCTTCGAGCTCAGCTGCACCTACCTCATCAACATCAGCTGCACCTGCCTGAAGCTCCACTGAGACTGAGTGATTTGCAACCTTGCACTGAGCAAGGCTCAGTGCTTTTCACCTTTGGTCTGAGATCAAAAAAAAGAGCATCAGCTTGCATGTGCTGCATGTGGTGGAATTTGAAAAAATGTTTGGGTGCTGTTTTGTAACTAGTTGGGTTTTAATAAGGCATTTTGAGAATTCAAAAAGAATGGAGCTAAGAAAGTAAACAATATTATTAGCAAAGGAAAGGAAAAGGACAGGAGAGAATGATTTTGGAAAATTTTTACTTCCAAAAAAAAAAACTGGACACAATAGAGGACCACCACAACAAACACACTATTGAGGATCAGGGTTGACTCCCTTGAAAAATTGTTTGAGTATGTTTGAGTGCTGTTTTTTAATTGGGTTTTAATAAGGCATCCTATATTTTGGGAAATTGTGCATTTCTGAGAATTTCAAAAGAATGGAGCTAAGAGAAAAAAAGAGAAAAGTATCAGCAAAGGAAAGGAAAAGGAAAGGAGAGAATGATTTTGGAAAATAAACTGAAACAATTGAAATAAACACTTCTCCAAACAACATTTGGACACAATAGAGGACCACCACAACAAACATAAAAAAATGAAATAAATTAAACAACAAATTAAAAAAAATAATTTAAAACATTTTTTTGACACAAAACCGACCCACCCAATCAATTTCCCTGGGTCACAATAATTAAAAAAAAACAAAAGCGACCCACCACACTAATCAGGATACAACATGATAATACATGATACAACATTATACATGAAAGGTAGTATAATCCTCTATAATCAACCAATAGGCACATGAGGGCGTACGACTGAGGTATCCCGACATCATGCCAGAAATACCAGCAGAAAGGAGATGGAGAAAGCGAAGGAGGATGGCCTTGGCATTCTCCCGGAAGGCCTGTCTGTAGACATTGGATTCCTTGGATCTGCAACTGCCAAGTTTTTTCAATGGGAAAAGGCAGGAAAAAGTCGCCAGAAAGCCGTGTTTTCCAGCATTACCTTTCAATTCTAGGTGTTGCTGACGATGATGTCAATTTCATGATCGGAAGCCCAACCCCCAAATTGGCTGAGAGCTCCCGAGTGGAATCTCATAATATTAGCACTGAGTACATGATATGGCCAAATTCCCTACCTCAGGAATCAATGCAGCGACCAGAAGTTTTGAACACAGACCGCAAAATGTAGCCTAGCTGCACGTTCTTCCAGCATGCGAATCATCTTTCGGAACTCTGAAATACTCAGGGTACCTGAAGCTCACTGACAGTCTCAAAAGGGCGCTGCAAACTTTCAGATCGTTCAGAATTCCCAACGACAAAGGTTGATAAGTATGACCGCCCGAGTGCAATTGCAGAAAAACGAATAGCTCTATATGTCTCTATATACTGATTAGACATCACATGACGTCACTAAACTACAGTATAGCACCAAAAAGGGAAACCGACTACGGGCCTGTGTCATCCACGTCCACTCTGCCAATGACGCTCTGCACCACCTGGCGAAAAAGCAATGGCTGAAACGAACTTGGGAGCTCTGATGAGCTCCAGTGTCAGCTCCATGGTTTGCTGGAAAATCATGGAAAATCCACCTTTTCATGCGACGATCTTCCCATTAAAACCTCCATTTAGTTTGGGAGTTTTCCAGCTACTTGTAGCCATGTTTCATATGTGTGATTACCCGGAGGTCAAGACGCCAATTGCACTGCATCATGATCATGGATAAACATGGATAAACCACAATGATTCACCGATTCAAGAACCTGAAATCAGGCTATTTGGGGATGATTCCCCTTATTAAATAACCATTATATATAATATATATATAACTTAACCATCACTGGATTCTATGGAGCGTACTTTCTGTCTATACATCTTCGACTTCAGACGTCGACGTATGTCGACCTCGAAGGTGATCTTGAAGCCCAGGCTGCGCAAGGCTTTTGGGACTTCAATGCTTTCCATTTCTCCAATTTCTCCAGTTTCCTGCGAAGCCACGGATGGCCACGATGGCTGGCCTCTTTGGGATGTAACGCATATGTAACCCTTATAGCACAGGTGTAGTAGATACATTGCTTTGAGGATGGGATATCTTCTATGTCATGTCAGAAACGTTCCTTTGTTACTGTTACATGATATTCTATGGGATTTTGCTACCATTCCAGATCGTTCCAGCACTGCTGAATATTGGGCCTGATTTGTGCTATATCTGACTTCGTTGTAACACACCCTCCACTGCCCCAACATCCAACCAGCGCGACCCTGCCTTGTCACAGTCACAGTGCTCCTCAAAGATTTCATGGAACTTTTCGCACTGCGCCATTGTAAAACCATCATACCTGACAAGTCATGGAGTGGTGCTCCCAATGGATCCAATGGGAATTCACAAAATCATCACTTTGTTTACTGGAATTGCCATATTTTGTGGCTACTCCCATTTTTGGACACAACCAAAGACAGTAATTGCATGTAATTAGTTGTATCTCTAAAATCTACCCACTAGATCCCCAAAAAAAGGTGGTGAATGAGTCTGGAGCCTTGCCTTCGATAGACCGTCAGCACCTGCCAAACCTCATTCGGACGGCCCAACGTGCGCGATCAGTAGTGTATCCCTGACCTGTGTATACATAAATATAATAATGTAATACACATATCAACGCAAATGATGTCATGATGTATTGATGTCATATGATGTATTGAGTATTGATGTATTGCATGCATGGATGGATGGATTGATATATGTATGTAGGGATGCAGGTATATATATATGCATTTAATATAATCTAAAATAATATTGAATTAGAATTACATAGAGAGAGAGAGAGAGGGCGATAGACTTATTGCCAAGGAATTCATATCATGTACATCAAGAATCGAAAATCCACGCAATCATCCCACGCCTGACCAAGTTCAAGCTCTTGTTCCTCCTCCAACCCAGCTCTCCGCTGAGCCTGCAAGTGGCAGGAGTGGTCTGGGTTTGCCCCAAAAATGCTGGCAATTTCTCGTTTTCATTGGGAAACTGATTGTAAAAGCACGATATTCTGAGGTCCTGTATTTTCAGACAACTCCATTTTCTAAAGAAAAACAATTGCGTTATTGCTCTGTGCCCGTGGCAAATGCCTCCAGGATAACGTGGACATCCCAGGGATCATATCCCAAACCTCAGCGACTGGGAGAGGTTCCAGTTTTCACCAGCACCATTCTCCAAAATGTCAGGATGGTTTCCCAAAGACGGCAGAAATCTGCAAAAGGCCATAGAAAGCCTCTGAGTTAAAGACCTTTTAGCAAGTCCGGCATCTCTGACTTGGAGATCAGCCCGTTCCCATCTGCATCTGCATCCGCCATGGCTTTCCTTAGGGGACCCTGATCATGTCTTGGGCTTTGATGCCACTGAAACTGCATATATCTGGGTAAATTACCATATTTCACTAACCTGAATCTTGCGGGCCATTTGGGGGTGATACTTCTTAAACAAACCATGATTTCCAGGGTTCGGTCGCAGTGAGGTCGTGATGATCCCTGAAGTTAGGAAGCCAACTACCAACCAGACAGTCCCGGCCCCGAATTGAAGGGAAAACTTACCGTACATGGTCCTTTAAATCAATCCACCTCAATTACCCTCTGGTAATTCAACATAGCCATGGAAAATGAAATAGTTGTAGATTATTGACCTTTATTTCCATGGGCCCATTTGCCATGGCAAACTGTTTTACTAGAGGGTATCTGCGGGTATCTCACTAATTCTCAGTTACAACATGTTACAACCAAGAATTCCATTCTATTCCCATAGTGTCGATGGTTAAACCATGTTCAACCCTTGTTTCATGGTGAGTCCTCTCATTAAAAAGCCCAGTTATGTCCATCTGTGATCCAAGGAACTTCACCGCCTTAAGTTCCACCTCCCTCACCTTTCGCATGCAAAGAATGAACTCCCGCAAGTCCAGTGAGCCGCTCTGGTCAACATCCACCTCCGGCCACACAAGGGTCACGACAAGGTCACCGTGGCTAAAAATCCCCCATCAATTCGATATTACACAACCAACCAATGAAATAACGGGGGATACAATGGGGGTATGAGAGGAATATGAGGAATATAAGTGGATGTAACGATATATTACTGTATATTTCATCATATATCCAACAACATGCGAGAGGTTGTCCAAAAATGAGGGGGGGGGTCCACATGTTTTTCTTTGAATTGGGAAGATGATGAACCATCAATAGGATTTTGGGATCCCAATTTTCAGACATAGCCCCGTTCCTCTTCAACGGATCCTCCATTCTGTTTGCATGCTCTTGCCACATCTTGCAATATGATCTTTGCTTTATTTATATTAAAACAAAACAAGAGTTTTTTGAGACTTCCAAATCTCTGACTTTTCGATGGCCTCCTTTAGAACAGCCTTCATACGATCACGCGACCAGGCGAAGCCCAACCAGTTCAAAATAGAGGCCAATTCAGCAGCATCCTGTGGCATCAAAGAGTGGCATGTTCACATAGACAGAGTCGCAATGAACAGGGAAACCACACCATCTCTCCATTTGTAGAATTTTGTATCTGTACTGTGTCATCATTTCTTCATTGATTTCAGATCATCTGGCACTTTTCACTGCATGAGGTCGCGACACACTCGTTGGAGTTGTCACGGTCAAAGCGCTGAAAAACCGCAATGAATTCCTGCCGGTGATACGCAACACACCGTGCTGCTTCTGTTGAAATCTCTTACACAACATGCATGCAGCACACTTGAGGCCCAGGGGTAAGGGATGGGGGATCCACGGCCAAACTGCTTGTGATTCCAGCCCCCCCAATACCTTGCTAAAGCAAAAGGGACTTCAGCTAGCAGAAGCGTTCGTGATGCTGCAGCAATAGCAACTGAAAGTGAGTTTCGCTCCTCATACTCGCTCTTGCTGAAACCCTCCCGCATCTGAATCCTCAGATGAAAAGAACAGGGCCATTGGTCTGAACTGAAAATGTGGAGGGTCGTGCAACTAAAGCGCAACCTCCAAAAACTTAAACTTCCAGTGGCGAAACTACATTTCCAAAGCATGAGGCCCTACCAAGTCCAATTCATTTTGGTAGTGAGATAGACCATGTAGTGATATCAACTGACGGATTTAATACATATTTGATATTGTTTCACGTGCCTCTGAAATTGTATGTGTTGATACTCAATATCCTATGGGTAATTTGTTGAATAACTTTTAAAAATGGCCCATAGAAATAGTTGATTTATGTTGATTTACCTATTCAAGATGGTGATTTTCCAGTTCGCTATCTGTAGGTTTACCAGCTGGTAGAAATACTGTGGATGGTTGCGAAATCCGATAAACCATCAAACGGATGGTTGAAACACTATATTTCTTCCACTATAAATAGTGAAACTGGTTGAAATACAGTTGATGGGTGAAACACTAACAAATATAAAAAATAGTGGGATGTTTACCACCCATCAACTGGTGCAGACCCCTCCAAGCGTCAGTTGCATGATGGACTTGAACTCGTCCAGGTTCAGAGTACCCAGACCGCTGGTGTCCACCTCATCGATGACCTGATCAAATTAAAAAACATATCCAAACATACTTGGATAATGTTGGATAGCTTGGATTAATTTAGATTATACCCTAACGCTCCCGATGGAGCATGGGGCGTCATAGTCACCGGGGCGTCGTAGGAAACATATATCATTGATGGACAACCCTGCAGGGGTCAGTACACCCCATGATACTCCGACCCTTCATAGGGACACCCCCTCAGAAGATAACAACATGGTTCTAAGGTAGTTGATGGTAATGGAGATGTTTTCAATTGAAATTTGAAAGTCAACCTTTGGCCAATTTGGTACCTCCCAAACTCCCAGCTGGTCCACCCGCAATTTCTTTGCTCTGCAAGCGGTGATGGAGATCACTAGATGATCCCTTGGAGCCTCGGCTGGAAGCCTGTGGGCGGGAGATGCTATGGAGATTGCAAATGCAATCCGAGCAGGAGGATATACCTCTGCAAAACTCTAAGGGATAACGACGATCTGTGACATGTTCTTGAAATTCTTCCGATGACCCCTATAAAGGACTCAGCACACAGTAAGGTATAGAACCTTGGGTTGATCAGGGTCTCCTTGACGTCATCCAACAAATGCTGAAAATGATGATGTTTGGGCAACAAGCGCCAAAGGGCGCGATTGCGTTCATGGGCCCCCCTTGTGGCAGCACTTTTGGCATTTAGATCTGAATACAGCTGAAGATGTTCATGACCACGGTCAAAAAACTCTTGTCCTTCAGATGGCGTGAGCAAAACATCAGATTCGTCCATCAAGCGCAAAACCTCAGTGTAAGCCCACGCGCAATTTGCAACCTCCCTGTCCAAGTCCGTAGCATCCGCTCTGGATGCCCAAGTAATCAACCTTTCGGAAAGCCAAAATGAGATAGCTTTGGATGCTGCAGCTTTTGAACTCAAGTTGGGGTATGCATTCCTTGTGGGCCTTCCAAGGCGGCTTACAGTGAAACGAGGTTGGGTCACATTGATTCCCCTTTCCTTCTTCCAAGCGTTGAAATCCTCATATGCACTGCGTAACGCATTCTCCATCGCAAAACGGTACAGCCCGTTCCCAAAGGGCCCAAATGCTCCACCCTCAATAAGATATGTCAGACAACTGCCATTTAAAGCTTTGCCAGTCCCAAGAAGCTGGCTATGCATGACGTCGTGCAACACCCTCTCTAGCCGAGATCCTGGAATGGAAAAGATCGGGTTGAAATTCGCAGGCTCTACCTCCTTCAGCGCAAAAAAATCATCATGACTCAAACGGGTGGCCCGGTGAGCAGCATGCAACCCAAAGTCACCAATTGTCATAGAAAGGTCTGGGTCAGATTTCTTGACCAAACATCGACTACACACTTCATTCTGCCGAAAATTGTGTAGCTGAAATTTCTCTGTCACCCACTTCAGGTCCCCTTGGGTGCTGCTGTAAGAGAAGGTATACCCTTTCTGGGACCAAGGGTGTTCCATATTTGGATCACACATCTTTGCAACCCGTTCTGCAACATGCGCCAAAATTTGCTTGTGGGTATTCTCAGTGCAGTAGTGTTCACAAATGCAACACATGCAGAAGTAGCGACTCAATGGTGTTTGTCCATGCCCAAAATCACTGGACCAACCCAAAACACTGACCACTCCACCCTCCGTATTGCGAAAAGATTGTACCTCATCGCCATAAAGAGAAAATGGAATCATTTTTCCCCAATGCGCAGCATCCACATTTTGGGAAGGATGGCCGTTGAACCAACTGCAATGTGCTTCCACATGTTTCCAATATTTTTCTGCATCGACATTTCCAATGAATAGCTTCTTGAACAGAGCTTCGCTTTCAGCAAAAATTGCACTTGCAAAGGTGTCCGGGAAAATTATCGGTAAATTCCTCATGGATGTTCTTTGAGTCTTCGGGTCATACATCTCGACCCGGCAAGTTTCAATAGGAATGTCCAATGAAAGCCCATGTCTTTTGATAAGCCGTTGAAGGTCACGCTCGCTGTTCTGAGGGCTTTTGCCAGAGTTGCCAATAGCAGCAATTTTTCTGATAATATCATCTTGGGGCACATTACCAGAAACACTTGCACAAAGTTTGATGGCCGCTTGTGCTAGCTCTTGCGCCTTGATTTTCATATAATCAACCCTTCAAATTTTGATATTTCATAATCAAACCCTTAAAAAATATATATCATGTATCGCTATAGGTATATAAGGGTATCTCAACAGGCTGAACCAAGAATCCCATTCACCCCAAAAAAGTGATTTGTGGGTACCATCAAAAACCAAATTTGTTGGATCAACCCAGGCACTTTCACAGCGCTCATCTTACCAGATGCAAAATCGTTCAAGAGGATATTGGCCAAATCACTTGAAGTTGTCGTACTTCTAGATGACGAGGCTTGAACGGGTTCCTGCCGGCCAGTCTTCATGGATTATGAGTGTACTACCCATGGGTGATTTCCCTTTAATTTTGGAATATCAATGATGCAACAAATAATGGTATGGATGGCTGGCGGGTCCTAATAGTGACAACATTCTTCAATGCATGATCATGACATGTATGGTTGATATATGTTTCCGTTAATGGGGTTATACTTACTCCACTTCCACATCGCTCCTGGGAACGGCCAGCAAGCCGAGGACACTTGGATGGCTTTGCCTGCTGGATGGCACACAGAAGGACAGGATGGATGGGCTGATGGATATGGACAGTGCATGCATGATACAAATGGGATACCATCTAACTCCTTGGATGTAAGGTCTGGGTATGATGATCCATAATTATATAGTTCAGGTTCACCAGATCACTGGACCATTCCCCAACATTCAAAGTTGGCCTGCTCATTTCGTGCATGGTCTCTGGCATCTTGGATACCTGCGTGGGAGACACACAAACACAAGAAAAACATGTGGCCCAAAGAACATAGGTTGATAAAACCGAATCCTAACCTGACCTGACATTGAAATATCATATGAAGTCAAGATTGTTTTTGTCTCCGCACATGATGGACTCACGTGATCAACATCTTCGTCGTGTGGAGTTCACACGATGGAACCTGGTGAAATCAAAAGGTGTCATGCTTCTATGGCCTTTTGCTGCATGTATACAACAAATGTCCAAGTGTATACTTTGAAGTGCATGTTGACATGCGAATGCCGTTTCATGGCAGCATCATCCGCATGACTCGACCCCGGAAATGATCTGCCGACTGAGCAAACCAATTTCAAACCCCTGCAGGATCTGGTGATCACTGCTCATTCTCGTCAAGCGCCTGTTGGATGCAGGGGGGATGAAGGGATCTGTGGTCAAGTGTAACCACACCTATATGTTGTGCGGAATCCTATGTAAACCTACTATAATATCATAAAAAAGATTGAATGTTTTTCTTTTTTGCAATGTTAGGTGTATATCATATGCATATCTTTGTTGATTGATTGGGGTGATTTGATACTTGCATATGGATGCACGAGACTTCTCACGTTGATTTCATAATTTAAGTACATGGAGGTTAAACTGTACAATATAGCCATATACAATCCGTTTTGTCACTATCCACGTTCGACGAAGATCATAGATATTTTTCCTGCTATATATAGACAATCAATATATTGGATATTTTGAATTAAATATCCAATATATTGATTGTCTATATATAGCATGGCCAGGAAATTAAACATATCTGCATCGATGATCGAACCCCGCCTCAGTGGCCTCAGCGGCCTCATTCTTCTTCTTCTTGCCCCTGCCACGGCTCAAGGCATTGGCACCTGAGCGGTCTTCCTCGAACAACTGCTGTCGCTGCTTGGCAAGCTCAATCGCTGCCCACATGGTATCGTTGGGAACGACATCCTCGCCCTGGTCAGCCAGGGCATAAAAGGGCTTTTGGCAACAAATGTTTTCAATAAATCACATGAAGGACGTTCCCTGTCAATGGTGGTCTTGATTGTCCCCAAATAAGCTCATTTAACAAGTTGGTATTCAAATGAATTGCATAACAACGCAATTCAAGTATAGTTTTGGGGAAGTAGGCACCTGACGAAGGTAGTTCTTGATTTGCTGATAGCTCGATTCCAACTCTGTCGCATGGTTTGTAAGCTGCTCACCTTGGATTTTTTGTGGAATCTCATGATGGAGCTATCCATTGAAATTGACACTGCATCAGTTGAAATCATCAGTTTGGGGCAACATACATAATCGAGGAACACAAGGCGCTCTGATGCTTGAGATGGCCAATCTTCAAAGGTAAAAGCTTAGCATCCGAAAGGTCCTTCAAGATCTTAGGGAGCAACCACTCCCCTGCCGGAAAGGGTTCCTCCGGCATAGGCCTCAAGAGAGGTTACCCACATGTAATCAGAAAGGGAACAGGTACCTCGCAAATCCATGGATGGTTATTCATATCTTCAATGAACTAAAGGGTACAAATACTATATATATAGACTATATTATCCGATTGTAAAACATGAATAACAATCCATGGATTTGTGACTAGCTTGGTAGGCCCGCCATTCAAAGTCATCCCCACGCTTGAAGACCCCTTCCGCAGAATGGATAGATTCCAAAGAAATGTTCTCAACTGATATGATGAGAATAACTTACATCAACATGGCCCCTATGGTAGCACCAAATTAAAGTCGGGGATCTTTTTTGGCCTCTGCTGCCGTTCATTCTTGGAAAGATCTGTGGTCGGACTTTGGTTGCTCTGCCCAGGGGTGCCATTGCCATTGCCTTCGGAACCAGAAGGCTGGGGAAGGGCACAGGGTTGGTTGGCCAGATTGTTCAGCAAGTTGGCGCTGTCTGGGACCAGGTGCTGCGCAGCCTGCACCAGGAGCAAATATATGATATATATATATATATATGTATGGGATATATAGGAAATGTGTGGGGAAAAACTTATTCATATCAAACGCATTTTGTTGGATAGCTAGCCTCTGATTCTGGGTCAAGATCTCCTTCAGCCCTAAGCTCAACTCGGTCTTCTGACTGGTCTTTGTGAGAATAGCTGAGCTCTGTCATCACCTAGGCTGCAT